TTCTCATCCTATACGCTACTCTTAATCCATCCTCTTTAGCGTGTTCTCCTGCATCCCTTGCACCCAGCCCACCTAAACCCGGTTCTTTCCTCCCCCCTCCAATTCTTTCCACTTGTCAGGAGGCAGGGAAAGCAGCAGCGGGTGTGCATGGACTGGTGTACCTATATGAGATGGCACCCTCTGGAGAAGGCCACCACCACACAGCTCTGAGACTGTTCTTTAATCTCTGCTGACTAGCTGTATGCCCCCACTGCTCTTCACATTCCCTCCCTTGCCCTCCATCTTCTTTTTTCCTTCCCTTTCCTGGCATTGACTCCCCACTTCCTGTGATCCTCTTATCCTACCACTACCTCACAATCTGAAAACAAAATGTGCTGCTTTTCAGCATGCTCATTTACATGTATGTTTTACACACCCCTATTCATGTGTCTTTTTGAGTGGAAGTTCTTTAGTGCAATTAGTGTCTTTTCACACATTTCTGTGACACTGAGCATGATAGGATCCCAGTCTGCTCCTATAATATAAATATTTTTCCCATTTTTCAGATGAGGAAACTGAGCCATAGACAAGTGATATGCCCAAGATAATACAGCAAATCAGTGGCAAAGGAAAAATTAGCATCCAGGTCTCCAACCCTGTGCTTTAACCATTAGATCACTCACCTTCAGTAATAATAATTAGCACTTATATAGCCCTTTTCATTCATAGATATCCAGCCATTGTTTACAATAATTTACAATCCGTTAAAAGACCAGTCCAGTAACCCCCGTTATATTTGTGTTTCTAATAACAGATATGAAATGAGGAATAGAGGGGAAGAAAATTGTGTAAGGATTTATTTGTCTTAATAATGTTATAGTTAAGTAAACAGACAATATTTGCCTGGAATCACAGCAGTAAAGAACTGCCATGGGTTTGTCATTAGGGGCTGGCTGGACATAGATAAGTACTAGTCTTATTTAGGTTTGGGTTTTTTTTCCTGGCTAGGGCTAAGTGTCTTCTCTTCACTGCTTCCTTAACTTTGCACTGGTGCAGCAGTGAATCATAGAATTATAGGACAGGAAGGGACCTTGAGAGGTCATCTGGTCCAGTCCCCTGCACTCATGGCAGGACTAAGTATTATCTAGACCATCCCCTGACAAGTGTTTGTCTAACCTGCTCTTAAAATCCTCCAATGATGGAGATTCCACAACCTCCTTAGGCAATTTATTCCATTGCTTAACCTCCCTGACAATTAGGAAGTTTTTCCTAATGTTCAACCTAAATCTCCCCGGCTGCAATTTAAGCCCATTGCTTCTTGTCCTATCCTCAGAGGTTAAAAAAAAACAATTTTTCTCCCTCCTCCTTGTAACAACTTTTATGTACTTGAACTATTATCATGGCCCCTCTCAATCTTCTCTTTTCCAGACTAAACAAACCCATTTGTTTTCAGTCTTCCCTCATAGGTCATGTTTTCTAGACCTTTAGTCATTTTTGTTGCTCTTCTCTGGACTTTCTCCAATTTGTCCACATCTTTCTTGAAATGTGGCGCCCAGAACTGGACACAATACTCCAGTTGAGGCCTAATCAGTGTGGAGTAGAGCGGAAGAATTACTTCTCATGTCTTGCTTACAATACTCCTGCTAATACATCTCTGAATGATGTTTGCTTTTTTTGCAACAGTATTATTCTGTTGACTCATATTTAGCTTGTGGTCCACTATGACCTCCAGATCCCTTTCTGCAGTCCTCCTTCCTAGACAGTCATTTCCCATTTTCTATGTGTGCAACTGATTGTTCCTTCCTAAGTGGAGTACTTTGCATTTGTCCTTATTGAATTTCATTTTATTTACTTCAGACCATTTCTCCCGTTTGTCCAGATCATTTTGGAATTTTAATCCTAGCCTCCAAAGCACTTGCAACCCCTTCCTGCTTGGTATCATCCGCAATGTACTCTCTATACCATTATCTAAATCATTGATGAAGATATTGTACAGAACCAGATCCAGGACTGATCCCTGTGGGACCCCACTCGTTATGCCTTTATAGCATGACTGTGAACCATGGATAACTACTCTCTGGGAATGGTTTTTCAACCAGTTACACACCCACCTTATAGTACTCCATCTAGATTGCATTTCCTTAGTTTGTTTATCAGAAGGTCATGCGAGACAGTATCAAAAGCCTTACTAAAGTCAAGATATACCATGTCTACTGCTTCCTCCCCCCTCCCCCCCTCATCCACAAGGCTTGTTACCCTGTGAAAGAAAGGTATCAGGTTGGTCTGACATGATTTGTTCTTGACAAATCCATGCTGACTGTTTCTTATCACCTTATTAGTTTCTAGAGGTTTGCAAATTGATTGCTTAATTATTTGCTCCATTAGCTTTCCAGGTACAGAAGTTAAGATAACTGGTCTGTAATTTCCTGGGTTGTTCTTATTTCCCTTTTTATAGTTTGGCACTACATTTCCCCTTTTCCAGTCTTCTGGACTCTCTCCTGTCTTCCATGACTTTTCAAAGATAATCGTTAATGGCTCAGATATCTCCTCAGTCAGCTCCTTGAGTACTCTAGGATGCATTTCATCAGGCCCTGGTGACTTGAAGACATCTAACTTGTCTCAGTAATTTTTAATTTGTTATTTCCTTATTTTAGCCTCTGATCCTACCTCATTTTCACTGGCATTCACTATGTTAGACATCCAATCACTATCAACCTTCTTGGTGAAAACTGAAACAAAGTCGTCATTCAGCATCTCTGACATTTCCACACTTTCTGTTATTGTTTTCCCCCCCTCATTGAGTAACAGGCCTACCCTGTCCTTGGTCTTCCTCTTGCTTCTAATGTATTTGTAGAATGTTTTCTTGTTACCTTTTATGTCTCCACCTAGTTTGATCTCGCTTTGTGCCTTGGCCTTTCTAATTTTTTCTCTACATACTTGTGTTGTTTATATTCCTTCTTTGTAATTTGATCTAGTTTCCAGTTTTTGTAGGACTCTTTTTTGATTTTTAGATCATTGACGATCTCCTGGTTAAGCCAGAGTGGTCTCTTGCCATACTTCCTATCTTTTCTATGCAGTTGGATAGTTTGTTCTTGTGACCGGGGTCCCAGGGAGCCACACTGGAGTTACTCATTTAGGGTGAACTGCAAAGAATGGGGCAGAAAATCCCCAAAGCTGGTGGATATCTCAATACTTAGATTTACCAATTCCAGCACAAAACAGCTTCTATAATACCTTACTGGTTACCCAGAAGCCAACACAGTTCCCTTAAAGCAACCCAGCCACAGGCCTCCACCCAGACACCCAAGTCAAATATGATGAGGATTACTGAAAATCTTCATCATATAAGAAAGTTCTACCAATCCCAAAGGATCAGACACATTACCTCCCAGGTTAATAATGAATATTTCAGATCTTACCCAAATACACGCTTACAGCCAATTCTTATTAACTAAACTAAAATTTATTAAAAAAGAAAAGGGAGACAGTATTGGTTAAAAGATCAGTATACATACAGACATGGGAACAGTTCTTGAGATTCAGATTCACGGTGGAGATGGTGAGCTTTGTAGGTGCAAAGAGTTCTTACAGAATTAGTTCATAGGTTAGTTCATAGGTTATAGTCCAATGTTTATATTCAGGGTGATTCCAGGTTAGGACTGGAGATCTCAGCCTTGTGGCTTAAGCTTCCCCTGCATGAACCATCAAGCAGATCTGAGATGAAAGGATCAGGTCTCAAGAGTCTTTTATACAGTCTTTTTTTAGCATCCTCTTGACAATACAGTCCTGGGTGAACAATAGGCTTTTGATGTAACCTTCTGTTTTCCAAACATCACCAGTAATTTATCCATTACGTAGCTCATATACAGCTTTAAAGAGACATATAGACAATGATACTATTTCACCCAAGATTCATCTAAATGTTAATGTTTCCTTTTGATCTCTGAATCAATAGGTATAGTAATAGAAAGGAACTGTCTGTTTACATGGCTAACATCGAACAAGACACACATACTATTAGTATCACTTCTAATTCTCTACCAATACAGGTTTGCATTTCAAAGTTCTAACCTATCTAATACGGAATGGCCTAACTGCCATTTACATACTTTTCTAACATGTCTCTACAAGTTGACTCTGGGTCATTTAGCCTGCAGGATGCTTAACCCTTTCTGGCCATGCGTCAGAAAAACTTAATAATGTCTCTCTGAAAAACTGCCAACTGTCTTCAATGGTTTTTCCTCTTAGACTTGCTTCCCATGGTATCTTACCTACCAACTCCCTGAGTTTGCTAAAGTCTGCCTTTGTGAAATCCATTGTCTTTATTTTGCTGTTCTCCCTTAGAATCATGAACTCTATCATTTCATGATCACGTTCACCCAAGCTGCCTTCCACTTTCAAATTCTCAACCAGTTCCTCCCTATCTGCCAAAATCAAATCTAGAACAGCCTCTCCCCTAGTAGCTTTCTCCACCTTCTGAAATAAACTTTTCTCCAATACATTCCAAGAATTTATTGGATAATCTGCCCTGCTGTGTTATTTTCCCAACAGATATCTGAGTAGTTGAAGTCCCCCATCACCACCAAGTCCTGTGCTTTGGACGGTTTTGTTAGTTGTTTAAAAAAGCCTCATCCACCTCTTATTCCTGGTTAGGTGTTCTGTAGTAGACCCCCTACCATAACATCACCCTTGTTTTTACCCCTTTTATCCTTACCAAGAGACTTTCAACAAACCTGTCTCCTATTTCCATCTTAACCTCAGTCCAAGTGTATACATTTTTACTATATAAGGCAACAGCTCCTCCCTTTTTCCCCTGTCTGTCCTGCCTGAGCAAGCTGTACCCTTCTATACCAATATTCCAGTCATGCGCATTATCCCACCAAGTCTCTGTGAAGCCAACTATGCCATAGTCGTCGTGTTTATTTACTAGCATTTTGAGTTCTTCCTGCTTATTCCCCATACTTCTCACATTAGTATACAGACATCTAAGATACTGTTTTGATTCTTCCCCCCCACCCCAATCTGCAGAGCCAAGGAAAGTGACCCGTTCAAGAGCTGTTGGCAAACTGCAATCTGTTCTGGAATGTCCAGGTCTCCTGACTTGTGATATAATAGAACTTCCCGGGCATATCCACCAATTGCAGCCCGGTTGGTTGGGAAACTAGAACTGTTGGGTGCAATTAAATAATTTTGAATGTTACTAAGAGAAGCTGTTGTTATCTAGCTTGAGTTACAGACTGCAGGAGACAGCAGCTCCATGCCTCAGGATGAGAAGGACCCCGAGATGTCCACCTCCACAAATGATCCAAAGGAGGCTGAATTAGAGACAAAAGGAGACATGGGAGATCTGTATGAGGCCCTGGAGAAGCTCCAGGGGCTCTCTGATGGGGAGAAGGGAGAGAAAGCTCTGCTACGCTCACGCCTTCATGAGCAGTCTCAGCTCATCTGCATATTGAAGAAGCGAGCAGATGATACCCTAATGCGCTGCAAGGCACTGGAGAGTCTCAACATGGAGCTGGAGGAGTTGAAGATGGAGGATAGTGTGAGGCTTGAAAGTCAGACCCGGCGGGCCCAGCAGCTGGAGGAGCGCTTTATGGACCTGGCTGCCAACCATGAGGACATGATCCGCTTCAAAGATGAGCACAAGCAGCAGAACATGCTGCTGAGGGAGGAAAATAAGCGCCTGAGGCAGGAAAACCAAACCCTTTTCAGCCAGGCTCTGAAGGAGAAGGAGGCTGCGGTCCTCCAACTCACTTCCCAGGGGAAGAGGCTCTCTCAGGAGGTAGATTCCTTAAAGGAGAGATGTGCTCAAGAGAGCCACAGAGCCCAGGAGCGAGAGAAGGAGCTACTGGAAGCTCAGAGCCAACAAGCCAGTGTCCATGCCAAGGAAACTGATTTACTGAGAAGCCAGCTGCAAAGTCTGGAGGAGAAGCATTGCCAAACTGTTGCACAGCTGGAGCAGGCAGAAAGGCAGCAAAAGGCTGAGGGCAGCGAGCTGCAAGCCAAGTTGGAGAGGGTGAGCCGTGAGAAAGAGGAGCTGCTGCATCTGGCTATGGAGAGGGGCAAGACACTGCAGGAGAAGCAACGGGAAATTCAGCAGCTGGAGAAGAAACTGGAGATTGCAGAGAGGGCCAGGCTGACAGCAGAGGAGCGCTTTGTGAGAGAGGTAGCAGCAGTGGACAGCAACCTAAGGGTCCAAGAGCTGCAGCAACGTGTGGAGGGAAGTGAGCAAGCATACAGTGAGCTCTGGATGCAGTTTGATGCTTACAAGAAACACAGCATGGACTTACTTACTAAAGAAAAAGAGCTGAATAACAAACTCCGTCACTTCATGTCATAACCCCTCACCCTCTGTTCAGCTCTCAGCAGAACTATTATAGCACACTACTTACTGCTTGTTAGTAACCCTTTTTAAAAAAACTAAAATGATCTTTTATCAGATTTCTTTATAGTGTGCCCACAGCTTTACAAATCTTTTATGAGGGTTGGTTTGAAGCCCATCTTTTGTTTCCATACTATTGATTTGAGATGGCAGCCTAAATGTGGCACTTTGAGTTAGTAGAACAAGTTATGCTAAATAAAACTGGGAAACAATGGACTTTAGTATGGAAAATTCATAATCATTTATGAGTTTGTCTTGTTTGTTCCTTGCCTCTCATGTTTCTAGTAATTTTTTTTACAGATTATAGAAGTACATTAAGTATTTTACATGACCAATAAAGAGAAAAAGCTCTTGCCCTCAAGAGTTTAGATTTGATATAGCAAATTGTTAATATACAGTGAAGTGGAGCTGCAAAGGAAAAAGGGGTCGCACAAAGAAGATCACAGTTTATTACCTGTGTGGAGGGATAAAGCCGATTAGTACCTGTACAGTATCTTTATCACTGAGGATGATTTTCAGGTGGATGATTAGCTGTCTATACATTAGGGGTCTGATTCAAAGCAATCATCATCAACAGAAAAGCTCCTATCAATATCTGTGGGGCTTGGATCAGGTCCTAGGTATGAAAAATGTGGATCACTGGAAATCAGGTTTAAAACTGGATTTTGTACATCATCCTCAAGTAAAATGAGCCCCATGGTGTCCTATGTAATGTTATAGGGATAATAAATACATCATTTTACTATAGCAATAGGGGCATTGGCAAGGGTTCTTGGCAAAACCTTTCTCTTCCCTTAGTGTGTGCACATAATAGAATCATAGAAGATTATGGTTGGAAGAGACCTCAGGAGGTCATCTAGTCCAACCCTTTGCTCAAAGCAGGACCAACCCCAACTAAATCATCCCAGCCAGGCCTTTGTCAAGCCGGGCCTTAAAATCCTCTAAGGAAGGCGATTCCACCACCGCCCTAGGTAACCCATTCCAGTGCTTCACCACCCTCCTAGTGAAATAGTTTTTCCTAATATCCAACCTAGACCTCCCCCACTGCAACTTAAGACCATTGCTCCTTGTTCTGTCATCTGCCCCCACTGAGAACAGCCGAGCTCCATCCTCTTTGGAACCCCCCCTCAGGTAGTTGAAAGCAGCTATCAAATCCCTCCTCATTCTTCTCTTCTGCAGACTAAATAAGCCCAGTTCCCTCCCCTGCCCCCTAATCATTTTCATTGCCCTGCTCTGTGCTCCAGCGATGGCTGCATTTCAGGGGTACCGCCTGCGCTAACAGGCCCTTGGTACAGCTCTTGGGATTAAAGCTTCTTCCTAAGCATAGGGAGACCACTTAGGCAGCTTGTTTGTCCGGCTTTGTAACACAGCCAGGGTACTTGCCCTCTTCTAGGCTAACCCTATCGCTACCCTGCCCCGCCCCCTCTAAAATCCTCTCCCCACTGCCCTGCCCCTCCCCCTCTAGAATCCCCCATTGCCCCGCCCCTTCTCTCCCGAATATGGCGGGCGGGCGCGCGCGCGCAGAGGGTGGGGGGAGGGGGTCTCTTCTGTTTCCGGTTCCGCGCGGCAGTGGTGGCCGCGCAGCCCCGGCCAGAGCAGCCGCCATTTCCAGCCCCCCGCGCTGCGGCCTGCTTGCCGGGGCTGGCGGCGGCAGGGTCCCGCCTGGCCTTGGAGCCTCGCTCGCGTCTCAGTCCCGCGGCGTCTCCCCTCCCCCTGCGGGGGATCCTCTTCCTCTCCCGCTCCCCGGACCAGCCTGCGGGCAAGCCCGGGCCTCGCCCCCTCCCCACCATGCGCCACAGCCTGACCCAGCTGCTGGCGGCCTCGTCGGGCGGAGAAAGCCCCTCGGCCGCCGCCTGGCAGCTCCCCAGCGCGGGGCCGGCCCCTGGGGCCGGAGGAGGCGATGGCGGGGAGGAGGAGCCGGAGGGCCCCCGCACCAAGCAGCAGCGCTGGGACCCGGCCGTCCTGGAGCAGCCGCAGCAGGCGATGGGGGAGGCGGCCGCTGGGGCCGAGGAGCCGGCGGAGCAGGAGGACCCGTTCGCGGGGCTGGAGCTGGGCGACCTGCTGGAGGCGGCCCAGCCGCACTGGGACCTGGACGTGGAGCCGAGCGGCTGCTTCTGCGGGCAGCAGGACGAGCCGGAGCCGCCCCTGAGCGCGCCGGGCCGGAGGAGCTGCGGGGCCAGCCCGGGCGGGGTGGCGGCCGGGAGCCGGCTGAAGGCAGCGGCCGCGGCCCGCCTGAACCGGCTGAAGAAGAAGCAGTACGTGCTGGGGCTGGAGAGCCGCCTGCAGGGCCTGGCCGCTGAGAACCGGCAGCTGCGAGACCGCAACCGGGGGCTGAACCGGCGCCTGCGGGATCTGGAGCGGGAGACCAGCTACCTGCGGGCCGTGCTGGCCAACCAGAGCGCCCTGGGGCAGCTGCTGAGCCGCCTGGCCGGGGCGGGGGGGCTCCGGTTCCGTACCAGCCTCTTCAGGGACACGGACCCGCCCCATCAGCACCCGCCACAGGCCGGCGAGAGCCGCGACCACGACTACGCCCTGCCGAGCCGGGATGCTGGGGAGCCGGAGGGGGAGGAGCGGCCGGCCTCCGGCGGGATCTGCCTCCACGTGGACAGGGATCAGCTGTCGGTGGAGTTCTGCTCCCTGTGTGCCAGGCGGGCATGTGCCTCCTTCAAAATGTAGGGTCAAGTACCTGCTTCAGTCTTTATTCTCACCTGTCCGTGCCCACATCCAGGGGCCTCGGGCCGTGGCGGAGCAAGCAGGCCATGGCTTGAAAAACAGGGGGTAGGCAAAACTGGCATGGGAACGGCGCCCGTGTGTGGCAGAGGGTAAAGAGCTCGCATGAACGGCACACTTGGGAGCCTGTATTGGGTAAAGATCGCGCAAAACTGGCGCACAAATAGCGCGCTTGGAATCTGCTTACAGCAGCGTACTAAATATTGTGCAAACTGACACATGCAGGTATTCGGAGCCCGTTTGCAGCAGTGAGTGAAAGATCATGCAAACCTGAAGCATGAAGGTGTGCTCAGTGCCCACAGTTGGCAGTAAAGATAATACTGTCTACCCTGTTTTGAATCAGATAATGTGTAGTCTGCTTATCCTGAGGAGCTGAAAATACTTGGTGTTTTTTTTTTTTTAAAAGAAAAATGCTACTTCGTCACTGGACAGACATAGTATTGATCAGCAAACAGTTAAAGCATGCATATAAAACTGTAACAAGTCTCAATTATACATTACTATTAAACCTCTCTGACAGTTTCTTTTTTAGGTGCTTGCCCTGCCAGGCTCCGTTGTGTAGGGGTTAAAGAACAGTCGTTTTCCACCTCGCAACCTGGTAAGGATCCATATATTCCCATAATGCGATATCAAACAGCTTGCATTGATGCTTAGTCCAGGTTTTTCTGATCATTGGTTCAGGACCAGTGCTTAGAAATGTTTTCTCATCCTGAAAGCATTTGTACTGATTTGCCAAAGTGTTTCCAGCTTTGGCCGATGGACAGGTAGTGGATATTAAAATCACATTCTGATTATTATTCTTCCCCTTGCGTATATTCTGCAGTGGATTTTTAACTTGATTTTAGTAGCCAGTATCTCACAAATAATGAAAAAATAATAACGTACACTGTTTGCTTTCCTTCTAATAGTAGCAGTTTTAAAGATATTTGCTACTGAAATATCCATCTGACTAGGGGAAGGGACAAATAATATGGTAATCAGTATGATGTGATTTTTTTTTTTTTTTTTTTTTTAAGATCTTTTGTCTTTAGACCACCCGGAACTAGAAGCAAATGGTTCTTCTTTTGAAAGGTCAGGATTTGTGCCTTCCAGTGGTATACAATTCCTGATTCTAGTCCTGGTGGTTCTCAATATTACTTTAAAAAAGAAAATCAATTCTCATTAGTCTACCTTGCTTGGTGATGTAAAATGTTGTATGTTAAACAGAACCCAAATATTGGTTTCAATTATTAACATTGTACAATGGCACCCTAATGCAGGCAAGTCACCTACTTTTTTTCACAGAACGGTAATGTGAATTACAAGTTAAAGATTGCAGTGCATTGAAATAACTCTAATTCTAGTTCACCATAAATAGTCTGTATACCCAAGCTCACTGAGATTCCTTGTATTTCAAAAGTGGCTTTTTACTTACACAAGTGTGCATGCAATTTTTTAACTTTACTATGGGATCTTAAATTGGCATCTCTGAGTATTCAGCAATATCTCTAACTTTCTATAGTCAGTTAGGAAATACAGTCTGCAGATGAACAAAGGTTATGTCTTGACATTAATGGTTTGAAAAAATAATGCTCATGCAGACTTCCATGTTTAGTTAATAGAGGAGGAATAAAGTAATTTGGGGGTCACAGACAAATGTGTGTGAGTTGCTTTTGGACCAGCACTAATATTACCCTATCTTGCAAGATGAATAGGTTACAATACACCTTTTTATTTTTTGGTTGTATTAAAATGTTTAGATTATTTACATGTATGTAAATTGGGGAAGAAAGGGTTGTGAAAAATAATTAAATGTAAAGTGAGGTTTCACAAAGAATGGGTCAGCTTAAGTCTAGAGTTAACAATTGAGACATTTCTAAAATGATTGAGTTAATATACTTAAGCCTTAAAACTAAGGTATAATGGATTTATATGTTGGATTAAGAGTAAATTGAAGCGTCTCCTTCGCTCAGTGATGTGCTTAAGTAGCTCCCATTAGGGGTAATAGGAGTTAAAAGAAGAGAAGAGACAACTAATTTCTTTGTGAAACGTCACTGTTTGATAAAGTATATGTGTATTTAGCATCCTTGTTTTTCTTTATGCTAAAGTGGATACAGCTCTGTTGGGGCAGAAGAGACGGGACCAGCTGCTGGCCACATTTCCTGCTTTATTTTAAAAGGTAGTATAAGAAATGGGGGAAAAAGAGGTAACAGGGCTTCTGCTGTCTTTCATTTTTGAAAAGCTTGAATGTTTGGAAAAACTAATCTCACCAATCCAAAGTTAGTGTGATACTAATTTGAAAAGTGACTATGTACAAAGGTAATTTTTTACTTCTGCTTTCTTTGTATTCAGAGTTACATGTTCACAGAAATACAGAGCCAGCACAGCTAAGAACTAGTTAGCTGTGGATTCTATTCCATCATATGCAGTATTAGTCGGATTGTCTATTTAGAGTTCCAGTTTTTTACACTTCTACAACCCCATTGTAGGCAGTGGGGTAGTCCAAGCGTCATTAAGAGCCAAATTTAACCTTTAGAGCTCTTATTCTTGGTGATATGTGAGCTGGGAAGAACTGGACTTGATTGAGCCTAGACTGAGTTTATACAGCTCATTGTTGGAGAAACGCATCTTTACTTGTAATCATCTTATTCAACAAAAGTATTAAAACAGTAAGCATGGAAGACTGCCATGGCATTTTTAGTCCGCTTTAAGGTAACTTTTTAAGTTATCTTAACTTAAATGTGACACTATCTTGCTCTATAATAGGATTCCCCCTTTTTGCACAATTATAAACACTTTGTTGTTGGATCAGAGCAATCTGGGACTTAATCCTAGCCTCTAATATGCACATGTGTATCACTGCGTTCTGTAAAATCTACTGCATATGAGTAACAGCCAATTTTACAACATGCAAAATGATGTGTGCCTGTACAACTAGGAATAGGATCCACCCCCAAGAATGTGACTGCAGGGATTTTTAGTGCCTTCTGAATCATATGTAAGCCAAACAGAGGGGAAAATTCTTTGAATGCTAATCAATTTGTGCTATCTGTATGGAATATTGTTAAATATAGCTTTTTGAAGCAGAAGCCTTGAACTGATATCTTAACAATACTTGAAAAACTTGTAAATGTTTCTTTGTAATTAGCTCTGTGCCGTACAAATAAGACTACAGTACTATAATAAAACCAGATGTGTTGATCTTTCAATTATGGGCTCAAATAATTTTTTCATCTTGTTATTAACTCAACATTTTGTTTTTAATGGATGGATCTTTAGATGGTTGGGAATTAAAAAAGGGAGTGCTAACAGTGTTGTCTGTATGTTTTTATCAGTTGAAGCTTTTTAAGCAAGAATATAAAACTGGTATTTGAGTTAAACCATACTTTGATTTGTCTTACAGCTTGATAAAATTACTTTCTCTTTTAAATGAACAACTTTTGTGGGTGGGGATGGAATAAAACTGTTGCTATTTCTCAAGAGTCTAAGATGCAGTGACACTTTCTCCTTGGAGTTTGCAGTGACCACTCTGATTTACTAAATATATCATTTAATAAATAGCACTTTAACTGTGTGGAGCATTTCTTCAAGAAACCATGTAACTTAAGTAGAAATCTTAGGCCTGGTCTTCACTAGAAAATTGGGTCGGTACAAGTACATTGGTCAGGGGTGTGAAAAATCCACATGCCTGAGTAGTATTGTTAAGATGACTAAGTAAGTTCCCATGTAGACCGTGCTAATTGGATTATCTACACCAATGAGAGAACCCTTCCTGTTGGTGTAGGTAGTGTCTGCACTGGAGCACTACAGTGGCACAGGTGCGGTGGCACAACTGTAGCGTTTTAGGTATAGACGCAGCCTTAGTAGCTACTTCCATGTTCTGGTGACCTCTTTCTCATTTTTTCATTTCATTTTTTGTTTCCTAATATTGATGATTATCTACTTTCTATTTACTGTCATGTTGTTAGTTCATAATTTTATGTCCTGTTCTTGTTTTCACATGCTAAATTGTAGACTAAGGGCCAACAAAGTGCTTTTTATATTTAGTAATAAGTGCGCACATAAGGCCCTACTTGAATTGCAAACGATTGTCAAAAAAGTGTGGCTGAGCTGCAGACAAGCCATGGAAAATTGTGGAAAAGTAATATTTGACCCTATTATTTGCGGTAACAAAGTCCATTATTACTTTTCCGTGATTTTCTGTTGTTGCTCACCTGGGGCTGAGAGCAGGAGCCTGGGACTGAGAGCGGGGGCTCTTGCAATGCCCACTGTCAAAATTGCAGTGGAAGCCTTTTATTGCAGAATCCGTAGTATTGCCAGTTAAATAGGGCCTTACACATTCAGCTTTTTCTATTTTAACTGCATTCTGCAATATGTTTATCTAAAAATGTAGTAAATGACAATAATTAAATGTTTAACAAATTGGCTAAACTTGATGCAGTGTAACTGTTGATTTAGGCCTGGTTTACACCTAAAATTTAGGTCGAAATAGCTGCATTGCTCAGGTGTGTGCAAAATCCACACCCTGAGTGGTGTAGCTATGCTGACCTAACCACTGTGAAAATGCCGCTAGGTTGATGATGGAAGCATTCCAGAAGAATGCTTCTGTCATCAATCTAGCTACCATTGTTTGGGGAGGTGGTGTTCCTTCAGTAACAGAAAAATCTGTTCCGTCACTGAAGGCTGCATCTACGGTACGGAGTTATGCCAGCAAAGCTATACCACTGTAGCTATGCTGCTGTGGTACCTGTAGTGTAGACGTGGCCTTACACTTCCCATGTGGTTTACATTTCTGGATATATGCAGGGGTTTGAGAGTACACAGTTGATAAATTTTAACAGATTTTCAGAGTTTGACTGCAAGGCTGTATCATAATGCTCAGTTGTTGAGAGAGTCTTAAAAAGATGTTTGTTCTTTGGACAGTGCACTTCAAGAAAGTGGCTTGTTGGTGTGTAGAGTTATTGGTTGCCTCTCCATCTCTAATTTTAGTGCAGGCATTGCATGTACTGAAAGTAGTCTGGCTCAGTCTACAGCAGTTCTAACGAAGAATAAGATTTTGTCACGGATTCCATGACTTTCAGAGACCTCTGACATTTTCTGCTTCAACTTCAGTCCTGGGCTTTGAGGTGGTAGGCCCTGTGGGCTCCCAGCTACCACGGGTCCTGCAGGGGCCCTGGAGCTGTGTTAGCCCCCTTACTCCGGTCCCCTGGCAATTAGCCCCCACCTTGTTTTTAATAAAAGTCAAAGACAGGTCACAGGCTTCTGTGAATTATTGTTTTTCCTGTGACCTGTCCATGACTTTTACTAAAAATAACCATGACAAAATCTTAACCTTATTTATAACAAAAGAAATGGGGGAAATACCTCAGGAAGAAGATTAATTTAATGAATAAAAAGTAGTTGTTAAAATTATTTAAGCAATAATGACATAAGGGAGCGTATTTCTTGGCTTAATGAGCAGCTGGAAGAGTTATATGGCTGGCTTTGTTTTGTGCTGTGCACTACCAAGGAATAACCGATTTAAAGGTTATAATTGGTGTTATAAACTGAACATACACGTAAACAAAAGGGAATCACCATTTTGTGTCTTAACTGCATGGAGATAGTGCTACATTTTTCAGTACTGATCTTTTTTCTAGTACTTAAGACAATTACAGTAATCAGTAAGAAATAGGACTTCATTCTCAGTAATCTTAAATGCTTGTGCATTTTAATAGCATTGCAAATTAACCTTTCTCTCTTTTCTCCAAACAGCTTAGCAGCATCTGGGGGAAAAACAATTCAATTTTTCTGCAACCTGTAACTGCCTGGAGAGATGGTATCAAAGTAATTATGGGGAGCCATGTCACAGATTTTGGCATCTACTGATGTATCTGAGTTACCAATTTTTTTTTTTTTTTTTTTCACTTGCCAAAAATGGAGAGTCCTAGTGTTTCCTTTGAAATTTTGAGGGACTTATTTTTAAAAAAACAGCAAAGGCTTTTCATATAAAACTTACATAAAATTACCCAATTTTAAAAACCTTGACTAATATGTTTTGGGAATTGTATATTTGGATATGGTATCTTCTGCATGAAGGAAGGTATTGTAATACTTTGTATGCAGCCTATTATACTTGCCTCTATTATTTATTTAGACTTACAAAAGCCACAGTAGGTGTACATCATATGCCCTTGGTGTCCAAATGGATATTTTGTATTCAGAAAGTTTTTTTTGTAGTTTTACACACGGAAAAAAGTACCTCACCAGTGGTGGGTGAGGTACTCTTCTCTCCCACCCTGTTGGGATAACAGAGTGCCAGGGATGGGGCTTTCTTGGGAGGTGTGCCTGTTCTGGGCTTGGGAGAAATCAAGAAGAGGAGGAAGTATCTATTGCCAGGGGGATTAGGAGCAAGGGGAGAAGAAAGCTGCTCCTGGTTGTGACGGGTGAAGTAATGTTTTATAGCACTGTTCATAAAACGGAGAGCTCTGTTAAGCTGCAGGCTTCTCCTCCATTCCTTTCCCCTAATAACAACCCTCCCTCCCATAATCTGAATCACCATCATTCTGGCAGAAGATTAGACCTTGACTACCTTCAGAATCCATCTACATTGCTTCTTAATTGGACAGTAGATTTCTCCTTTAAAATGCAGTGAAAGCTACTGCAGTGATAATGTGTTTTTTGTGTGTAACCTGTTTTTGCCATGATGGTAAGAATCTCTACAGATAAGGATGCAACTAAAAATAGACCATACCTGTAACTGCTGACTTGGGATTTTGAACACCTTTTTCTTGCTTACTTTTCCATTTACAGTATGTAATATAGATACTACTTTTCATAGTATTCCTACAATTTGTGTGATGGTAGCTGCTACTAGAAGTTGTGTAACTCAACCACTTTGGGGAAAAAAATTTTTTTTTTTTTTGAGGTGTGAAATGCCAAAAGGTACTGGGGCATACTGAGAAGTAAGTCTTGTATGTATAAAAATAAGAGAGGCAAGTAGCCCTGCATTAAAACTTTTTCCCCATCGATGAATATTTAAATAGTCATGCTAAACATTTTTGACTGACAGAAAAATTGCATCAGTAACCTAAATACCATTTTATCTTGGTGCAACTTCAAAAGTGGATGAATTAAAAATCTTTCAGTATCAGGCTTTGTAACTTTAAACAGTGACTGGCCAGTAGCCACAATGTGTGTATCCCTATTTTTTCCATCTCCTGATATAGACTGACTTGTTAAGTTTTTACATTTGAATAAATTATTCAGTGCAAAAGAATATCAAGTGACCAGTCTAAAAAAAAGTTACAGGGCTGCAATTGTTACTCTTTAAACTAGTTTAGTTTCCAAAGCGGAATGAATGTAATGCTAATTAGTTTGATTTGAGCTAGGCGTTGATTATGTAAGCTTTTCTCTCTCAGCTCTATGATGCGCCTTTGATATTGCCCTGTAAAATACCTTTGTTCCGGTCACGGGACCCTAGAGTGCGGGTGATCACTGCTGAACAGTACAGGGGCTAAATGTTTGTTTAGATGCAATCCAGTATTGCAAGAAAAATACAAGGGAATGGTGGAGGTCTTAGTGCTGTGTGCGGAGGGAGGATAGTGCGGTTTCATTAGCTAAATTATAAATATAGGGCCAAATTCTGCTAATTTTCCCCTGTGTAAATCGGACTCACCCCACAGGCTTTTAATTACCTAGGTAACTAGAAGAATTACTGTTGTATGCATGATTGTTTCTCTGCCATAGCAATCACGTTGCTCTTCTTATACTGTCAAGTGCATACACATAATTTTTGGAAAGTTGGACAAATACAATAAAACAGCATCTGTGCATTCCATTTATACTAGTCCAAGAGTATAGATTCACTGACAGACCTGATGATTGTCTTTAATAAAACTCTAGGCTTGGGGAATGAAAGCACGGATCACTTTCTCTTTAGAGCAGGCTACCCTTGAACAAGCTGACACATATTGTCACTCTAAAATTTGGGGAGCTTGCTGGCTGGCAGTTTACTACATTTTTGTGAAGGGTGTTCCATGTCCTTCAGACATATTTGGTAGGTGGGATTGCACTGTATGTTTGTAAAGAAGATACATTTGAGGCCCTGCTAGATCTATGCCCTTACTGTAGTTACCCCCTCATTAAATGTGTATACCTTGAGAGTGTTTCAAATTGGCATCTCACATAAGCACTCTAGAATGTGCAGTATTGAGTGTGACTGTACCTTGACATCGGCCCAGACCACTTATTTTGTGAGACCCAAAGATTTCTTTGGGTAAACAGGGCTGTACATTACTCTAGAAGCACAGACCACTTACAGCCTCTTGACTGACTGTCCTGTTTAGAGGAAAGCTAATGAATTTTATATGCAAAATTGGATGATAGGCGGCTCCAAAATTCTTTCCACTTTGACCTTTCTGGTATCTGGATATGGAAGCTTTTAAATTAACCTCACCCCACTTTGCCATCATCTTTTCTGTCTTCTCCATCAGACTAGTAAAAGTGGAAATGAAGATATTTGGTCTGCCATTTAGGGTTCAAGTAACAATGCAGAATACTGTATATGTTGGCAGGATGGATCTCAGTTTTGGGAAGTAAAATCTGGAAGAAATTATTCCAATAGTTAATTGGGTGGGGTGACTTACAAGTCAATCAAGAAATTTCACAACTCATCAAATTTACATTTATTTAAATATAATTTTGCCTTTTTTTCTTCCTTGTTTTTATTGAAAAAAAGACACAAAGGATATTTAAGAATTTTTGGTCCTGAAATCTTTTCTATATCTAACAGCAGATTACCTTAAGGTAAGGGGGGTAATAGGACTCTTGCTCTTTATTTGTAAGTAGGCTTGGCATAATTCATTGTTTCCTTTTTATAATTTTGATGGATATCAATGTTTATTTTTAAGCACTCTTTATTTGTATCTGTTTAAACTTTCACAGTTGTAGGAAATTATGGGGGGGGGGCATCAAACAATTTAATGACAAGTTTCAAAATGTTAAAACTTTATCATGGTTAAAATACAAATTGTCAACATCCCATGTCAAAATATATAAATGGAATATTCTTAAATCAAACACTTAAATTCTCAAGCACCATTTTTCTTTCTTTGCCTATCTGTAAATTTCAGTTACCCTAAAAGGAAATGTTATTTTGTAGGTTTGTGTGTCTACAGTGAAATGGACACTTACCAACATTTACTGATAAAAATCCAATCATTCCAAAGCCTGTTTAAAAGATGTGTATGCAATATAATTACTTGACCTCTCAATCCTGACAATTGATGTTTTTATTCTGATCATATTTCAGTGTGGGCATCTTTTTAAAATCAGGTTTTGAAAATTTGTGTTCCAAGTTTTCTCCTGGTTAATTGAAAGCTGTTATGCATATAACCAAGTCAGGCAAAGTGAGCTGCTGGAAGCTAGCTCTTATTCAGGGAATTCGAGGTGGGTTGAGTCTAGAACCATCTTGTCCAGAGCTGCTTCTGACCTCTCACTCCACACCCTCAGCTTGGAGGAAAATTTAAAGAGTTAAGAAACCCAATCCCTGAAAAAATCTAAGGTAAGACTTCTTCCTCCAGCTGCTCAAATTTCCCCCAAGGACTTCTAGAAGAGGGAGAGCATGTTCTGGTTATTTTGAGAATGCTGAAAAGTGTGTTTTACATTGTCTGCAGCCAAACTCTGGAGCATTTGTTTCAGTTGGTGAGAAAATAGAGCTGGTCCTATGCACGCATCCATGATTAAATTTAATCTTGTAGAATAAGCTCCTGGAAAGACTTCAGGGTTGTTGGAAACAAGCTCAGATTTTACAAATTTAATGCCCCCTTCCCCCTCCAAAAAAACAAAAAACAACTCAGTCTGTCCCCCACCAGGTGGTTGTCGTTGCAACCATGGCCACATTGGCTAAGGATGGAACTGCTGCCTGGTATGTGGGTCTCTTGAGTTATTTGCCCTCTCTGATGTCATTGCACTGCAGTTGTGTAACTACTCCAGCATGGAGGGCAACTGTAATGATTGGTGGACATCTTTTCATGGAAGAGAACTGAGCATGTCTGACTAATTCACTTCCTTGTCTTATGTAAAAATGCCCAACACACTTTTGGTGGTTTAAATAGGATACATTAAGAAAACTTTCCTGAGGGCAAGATGTTTTGCTGTGCAATAATATCCTAAGGAAGTGATGGAAGCTGAGGGTTGCTTGGCATACTTTAAACTAGACAAGATACTATTACATGGGAAATGAACAAGGACTGATCTAGATTCTGCGTTCTTGGCTTGGAACAGATTGAGTCTCAACTCATGAGCAGGTAAAATAATACAATGCTTATACTATGGTAACTTACATACCCATATTGCTTTTTGGTTTGTGACGTGAATGAAAATCCAGGTTATAGATGTATTGTGTGTGTGTAAGTCCATTGATGGAACAGGTGCTCAAATAAGGTATGTCAAAGGGATGAGGCATCAGAAGTATTAAATTGCTCAAAGTTCAACTTGCACTAAAAAGTCTGGTTTACCAGAGCACAAAAATATAAAGACTGCCAGCAAGATCTCTAATTCAATGCTGAATTAACTCTATTTGGTGTTAGTTCTACATACCTGTACATTGCCTCTGGACTCAACATGTGGTTGATGATTGGGAGGGGGGCAGGACATGGGTATAATAATGCAGCAACTCTAATCCCATTCAATCGATGCACAAAATCAGCATATATGTATTTCATAATCTATTTAGGAAGTTCTGAGTGCTCCCTGATAACTTAAAAAAAACCTGCACAAACTTTGCTCTGATAAGTTAGTAGGGGTCATACATAATCAACAGTGATTTGTGCTTTCCAAAAATCTGTGTTTGGGAAGTGGGTATTACCCCTCTAAAAGTAGCACACAACAAAATCCTGTTTCAGTTCACAATTTAATAGTGAAAGACATTGAGAAGTCTTGAATTACTTATTTAAAAAACCCCACAAAGCAATAACTTTCTTGCCTTATTTAGTTTCATGGTTTATTGTAACCCACCCAAGCATTAGAGGGAGTTGTGTATTTTTCAGTTTTAATCTTGGAGTTCTTCAGGATTGCTGCTTGCTTTAGGCAACTGGAGCATTTTCATAAATATTCCATACTGTCTTGAGCTGAGGTAAATTCCAAATGCAGCCTGCAGAAGGATAGCAAAACTCATCTTCTTAAAGACTGGTTGAGAGACTTTAATCCAAAAGCGTAACATATTCTCTTTCCCAGGCAACGGAGCTGAGCTGTACCTATACAGAACAAAAGCCAATAAAACTTAGTCTTGTTACTTTACCACCAGTTCCCCCCATCTTCCTCTTTAAAATATTACCCTCTATTCCCAACACCTAAAATTTGTGTATGTCTACAAAGCAACTGGGTAACTTTAGGTGGCCCATGCCAGCCAACTCAGGCTTACGGAGCTGAGGATGCAGGGCTGTTTCATTGCTGTCTAGACCTCTGGGCTCGGGCGGGAGCCCAGGCTGTAGGTCCCAGAGCTCAGGCTCCATCCTGAGCTGGAAGTCTACACAGCAATGAAACAGCCCTGTGACCCTGAGTCGGCCAGCCGGGGGTTTTTTGTTCCTGTGTAGACATACCCTTACTAGCTTTTTTGGGTACTAGGAACCAGTGATCTGGTATTCCAGATTGGAAGCACAGTATTAATACTTGCCATGATTATAAGGCTCATCTTCAAATTGCTTTACAAACTAGTCCTTAGAATGCCCCTGAGGGGTAAGTATTACCCTCATTTTGTCAAGTGGAGGCAGAGAGGTAATTTGCCTAGGATCACAAAAGGGAGTCAACATTGAGATGGGAGCTCATGTGCCTGGCCTCTGTCCTTAATCCTCTTGTATTAAATGCTTAATCTTGTTCCGTTCCAATTGATTAGTACTATGCTTAGTTATCCACCTTCTGTTCAAAGACCTTCAAGCATTAGTTTAGACATATTTCAGGCAACTGGTTTTCCTATAGAACAGATGTCCCATGCAGCAGGGGCTAGGTAGGATAACTTTTTTGAATGCTGCTCTGCAATCTTACTTATTCCAACCATCTTAAAACCTTTTTGCTATGTAATATCCAAAAAGACTGAAATAGCCAAGTGTGCTTTGATAAGAACTGTGTAGAATTAATTTGTCCCAAGAAACCGAAGTTTAACAAAATTTCACATACCTGGCTGCAAGTCCTGCATTTATAGGAATGGCCAAGAAAATGGGATATAGACCACCTATAACAGACCCAATTAATCCTCCTCTGACTATGGCACAGGTTGCACACATTAGATCACCTAGATGACAAACAAGTCATTTCACAGTTAAGATACAATATCTATGTTGTTTTTACATTTTAACCTGAGCTTAAAGAGGCAGGCTCTCTGAAGTGAAATATATTGTCAGTGGAAATGGCCATGATAAACTGCAACTAAAGAGATAGACTGTTCTAGTTAATCTATTGTATTATGACATCTCCACCATTCAGCTCTATAGAGATTTCAATCAAATATAACCCAATTTTGTATTGCTGTAATTGCATCTAAACTGAAGTGCCAGCATGCACTAAACATTACTGATTCGAACACAGATCCATTGACGGTGAAGTGTTCAACAATTAGTGGGGCATGTCATAGAAAAATCTGCTCTATCCATCTCACCTCACCTAAGCCCCATTCAGGTTGAAGAATGTTTTTTGTATGTGCATAAATGTAAAAATGTTGTCTTTTGACATTATTCTGTGCACCTGGCAGTTCATGTACAAGGTGAGGTTTTCAACACTATATTGCTTCACTGTTTTGCAAATAGCATAAGCTTTTCTGGTATTGTATATAAAAAACAGACAGTTTTTATGACATGGGAGTTTTGAAAACAGCGCCCTTCATAAGGAATTAAAAATTTACCTGAAAGTAAAGGTTCAGTTACCGCAGTGTGGTAAATTGCTGCTGTTGTGAGGAATGGAAGAACAGCCATTGGCAAACTCGAGGCAATCCCAGCCTGTGTCACATTTAGGATGCGTCTGAAAAAATTGTTTGCTACTAAACCACAAATGCCTCCATTTATTCCCAGGAAGTATGATCCATGTGCAAAGAGTTTCCTGTCGGGGGGGAAATTAGGTTAACATTTTCTGCAACTCTGGTGTACAGGAAATCTGTTTGCTCAGTCTTATGTCTTTGGGAACATGCTGTATTAAATTACTACGCTGAAGATGATCTAAAATGGAGTCGTCCTGCTGTCAGAAGCAACTAGTACAGTATTCTCTGCCACATGCCTGAAGTTACTGTGATAGTGGTAAGGATCAGGGAAGAACAAGTAGGTATACTTCCAAGTATGCACAATTGGCCAAGTGAATTTCATGTACGGGTTATCTTCTAAAACTGAGATTCTACACTTCTAGGGGATCACAGACAGAAGGTATAGGCGACTCACGGGTAAAAATACTGTTTTTGAGGAACACTCTGACATGGTACAGTAAATGCTATGGGTCTTGGAAATGATCATTTACGCTTCCCTATGGTAGCATTCTAATAAAAACACTAGGTTATGTGAGAAGGCCCTACACAAAAAGCTGTGTGGAAAAAACAACTAATTAATTGAAGTTTAGCCTTGGTGTTAAACACCAGAAGCACAACCACTTAGGCAAGGGGTGGGCAATAATTTTCACAGGGAGGCCACTCCATGAATTTTGGTAAGTTGTCACAAGCCGCATATTTCTACTACAGGGATCAGCAACTTTTGGCACGCAGCCCATCAGGGAAAGCTGCTGGCGGGCCAGGACAGTTTGTTTACCTGCAGCGTCCGCAGGTTCGGCCAATCACAGCTCTCACGGGCTGCGGTTTGCCGTTCCAGGCCAATGGGGGCTGCGGGAAGTGGGGCAGGCCGAGGGATGTGCTGGCCGCCCTTCCAGCAGCCCCTATTGGCCTGGAGCAGCGAACCGTGGCCAGTGGGAGCCGTGATCGGCCAAACCTGTGGACGCTGCAGGTAAACAAACCGTCCCAGCTCGCCACCGGATTTCCCTGATGGGCCACGTGCCAAAGGTTGCTGATCCCTGTTTTACCATATTAATGGAGGGGCGGGGGATCTGGGAGAGAGTTTGGGTTCAGACCTGCGGTAGCGGGTGGGGGTGCAAGGTGCAGGCTCTGACCAGGAGACGCTTACCATAGGCTACTCTCAGTGCAGCAGGGCTCAGGCAGGCTGCCTGCATGCCGTGGCCTCATGCCACTCCCGTAAGCGGCTGCAGCCGGCTGTCTGTCCCTGTGCTACCCGTGCCCGCATGCACCACCCAGTTTCTGGCCAATGGGAGCTGTGAGGACAGTGCTTGGGGTGGGGGCAGCGTGTGGAGCTGCTTCCCCCTCCCTGCCAGGGGCACACAGAGACATGCCAGCAGCAGCTGGCTGCTTCTAGGAGCAGCATGGGGCCTTGGCAGGCAGGCAGGCAGCCTGCCTGAGCGCTTCACTGTGCTGCAGGACTTTCAGCGGCTGGGCGGGGGGGGCAGCACAGAAATGTTAGATGAGCCGGATCCGGCCCATGGGCCGTATTTTGCCCACCTCTGACTTAGGCAATGCACAGTTTTAGAAGCCAATTCATTTTTTTCAAGTCCATATTGACTATTAAAAGCTGCATCTAACTTGTTTTAAGATATATGCCATCCATCTTTAATCAGAACTCTCTATTGAAATCAATCAAGTGTTCTTTAAAATGGCCCGCAGAACAGTGATAAAGGCAAAAATTACTTATTTATATTCTAGTAGTGCCTGAAATGTGCTAGGGGCTGTATGAGCAGATACTGTAAGATGACACATCCTTGCCTCAACGAGTTTACAGTCTAAGTATAAAAAGACAAATGTACATACAAGCAAAACATCCAAGGTGATATAGGAACACATCTTGGCCTCAGTCCTAACTAGGCATATTCAGTTCAGTGTGACTAAATTTTAATGCATGCATTAGAGTGGCTACAGGATGAAGGAACTCATTAGGCCCCATCCCCTTCCTATTCTATCCCAATTATGCCTCTATTTGCCCTTTAGTTCAGATGCCCAGCCTACTTGTTCTGACACTACAATACCCCAAGTTGTGTAAGTTTAACAAACAGAAATAGGCCCTGCACCTCCACACACACCCCAGCCCTCTGCCCTGACCTCGAGTCGCCCCCAACACCCTGCCTTCTGCCCTGCACCTCCACACACCCCAGCCCTCTGTCCTGACCTCGAGTTGCCCCCAACACCCAGCCTTCTGCCCTGCACCCCCCCACACACACCCCAGCCCTCTGCCCTGACCGAGTCACCCCAACACCCAGCCTTCTGCCCTGTACCCCCCACACACCCCCTGCCCTCTGTCCTTACCCCTGAACCCCCCACACCCACCAGCCTTCTGCTCTGCACCCCCCCCCCCCCAGCCTTCTGCCCTGACCCCCGACCCCCCCCCCCCAGATCTGGGGTCCTGGCTGCCGGCCCCTTGCCAGCCGGCGTCCCGGCCACAGGCCCTGCTCAGCCCGCTGCAGGCCTAGGTGAACAGAACCCCAGGCTGGAAGCGGGCTGAGCAGGCTGGTGGCATAAGATCAGCATTTTAATTTAATTTTAAATGAAGCTTCTTAAACATTTTGAAAACCTTGTTTACTTTACATACAACAACAGTTTAGTTATATAATATAGACTTAGAGAGAGACATCTTCTAAAAAACATTAACAGTATTACCGGCACGCAAAACCTTAAATTAAAGTGAATAAATGAAGACTCGGCACACCACTTCTGAAAGGTTGCCTACCCCTGCTTTATAGGATGGGGAACTTTTGATGGGGCAGCTTGGACACGCTACATTTCATTACAATATCTAAAACAATAAATGGAATTCAAAAATGTCAATTTTGTAAGCTTGACTGGCAGTTTGTAACAGGAGTTTGTTTCACATGCTTGATTTACTGAAGCAAGCTGTGCGTTCGTATATAAAACTATAAACAGCATAAAAATAACGAGGAGTCCGGTGGCACCTTAAAGACTAACAAATTTATTTGGGTATAAGCTTTTATGGGTAAAAAACCCCACTTTAGCTACAAAAGCTTATGCCTAAATAAATCTGTTAGTCTTTAAGGTGCCACCGGACTCCTCATTGTTTTTGTGGATACAGACTAACAAGGCTACCCCTCTGACACTTACAAACAGCATGGTAAATTAGGCAGGTGAAAACAACACTTTAGTCCTATAACGCTAGCTGTTCATTAATTTTATATTCCCAGAATGATAGCCATTGCCAGGTCAAGGAATTAATTGGAAGCTACGTTGCTTCTGATGCTGTGCCATCTTTGTGTGTATTTTTTAAAGTGCCATCATTAAGTTGGATTTCCTGCTTAAACTCAAACAAAATAAAATGCTTAACTGGCTACAAAATCTATTCAAAACCAAATGTCTCATGTATTTACAAAATTATCAAATGTGACAATCTCTATAACATTTAGAAATTAAAATAATTATTTCTTAAAATCCACCCATTTACAGAACTTAAATATTGTAAATACTTTAAAGCAAAATTAATCATTGATTTAAAAAAAACACCACCACTTATATAGATTTAGGTTCCAATCCTCCAAACACTTCAGCATCTGCATCAAAAACATTTTAGGGTAGAAATTCACTTACAGTTTTGAATAGGAAAATCCTGACCTCCTCAATCCCTGGTTACATTTACCTAATTTTCAAAAGTGAATACAAGCTACCTGTAATTTAAGATCCTATATAGCTCAAGCCTGATTTTGAAAGATTAGATTAATATGTGACAGTCATTTTTCTTTGGTACTACCAAAACTTACAAAAGAGAGACACAAAGTGGGTGAGCTTTTATTGGACCATTGCTGTTGGTGCAAACGCTTTCAAGCATCACCAAACTCTTCCTCAGGTATGGAGAAGATAACTAGAGTGTCCAGGCTCAATACAAGGTGAGATAGATTGTTAAGCATAGGGGATTCACATATTTTAAATGGTTTCCTACAATGATGTGGGCCATTAAAAGCTCTTCTGTGGTAGGACAATGGAGGGCTAGTAGGCAGCAGGGTGTGTAACAAGTTGTAATGGGCCATAAAATCTGTCTCTGTTAAGTCCATGATTTTTAGCATCCAGCAGACTGATGAGTTTAAATTCCCAGGCTCATTTTTTGAAGGTGTTGTGCAGGTTTCCTTTAAGGATGAGGATTGTGAGTGATATAGAGTGATTACTTTGTGAAAAGTGTTCAATCACGGTGGATAGCGTGTCTGATCATTTTTATGTGCGAGTTCATTGGAGAGCCTAGTGATTGATTGGTTTCACACACAATTTGTTGTTGGGGGCCTTTGATGCACTGAATGTGGTACACCACATGTTGTGACGAGCATATGTAGGACCCATAAATCCTGAAAGGTATGTGTGTGTGGGGGTATTGGCCATCATACAGTGGAGATTGCCTGCAAGTTTTGCATTTGTTGTATGTCAGGGGCTGGTGTCACTTTGAGTTGGTGTGTCCTGGTCTGTGGGAAGCTTGGCAAGGTTGGGGTATTTGAAGGCCAGAAAAGGGGCAGGGGGTCGTGAAAGATTTAGTTAAGGGTGTGGTCCCCATTTACTATGGGTTGTAATTATCTGCTTATGCTACGTATGGGTTCTAGTGCAGGGTGGTAAGTGACAACTAGGGGTGTGCTGTCAATTCCTCCCTCCCCTCCCCCCCCCGTCTTGAAGCACAATCTACTGTGGTACTGGGGTGGCCTGTTCCATGATACGATCTACTTCTCTGCTGGAGTGTCCTTATTTGGGTAAGGCAGTTTTAAGTGCGTCTCCTGGACTGTCTCTTCAGAGTATATTCTGTGGTATCTGAGAGCCTGGCAGTAGATAATAGATTTCCTGGTGTGTCTGGGACAGTTACCGAGCTGTGCAGGTAGGTGTGGTTATCTGTGGGCTTCTTGTATATCGTTACCTGTAGGGTACAATTATTGAAGCTGGTTGTGGTGTCCAAGAAGTTGATGCTGGTGACGGAGTGTTCTAGAGATTGTTTGATGGATGGGTGCTAGTTGCTGAGGTTGTGGGGGAAAGCTGAGGGAGTATAAAGGTATAAGGGTAATTCCTTTGAGGTCAGAGGCCTACAGCTGTCTGGCTGATTAGCCCTGCCCTCTGCACTGGAGAGAGAGTTGCAACTTAATGAGCTAATCTTTATAAAAGAAGCCAGCAAGAAATAAGGGGTGGGAGAGAAGAGAAGAGAGTAATATTCTCCAGAAAGTTGGCAGGGCTGGGGCAGTGCAGACTGCTAGTGGAGCTACTACAAAGAGGAACTGCTCTAGAAACCAAACAGAGAGACGGGAGATTGTGTGGAGTACTTTATTGCTGAGACTCCTAGGTAAGAGCCAGGAAATTTTGGTTACTGGTGTGAGGGACTGAGGCTATGTCTACACAACAGACCTTACAGCGGCACAGCTGCGCTGCTGTAAGGTGTCCCATGTAGCTGCTTAATGCTGACAGGAGAGAGCTCTCCTGTCAGCATAATTAAACTACCCCCAACAAGTAGCGGTAGCTATGTCAGTGGGGGGAGCATCTCCTGCCAACACAGTGCTGTCCACATCGGTGCTTTTGGTAGTGTTTTTTTTTCATACTCCTGACCAACAAAAGTGCTTGTGTAGACAGAGCCTGCCTTGGGGAATGGACAAGGCAGCATGCACAGACCTTGAGGGGAGAATCTGCAAGGTTTTGATTTTGTTAAGGCGGCTTAAATAAAACAACTAACCCTGCTGCAAACTGCTTCCTTGGATTCCTTGAGAGAGAGCTCAGACAGAATTAACCTAAGGAGTGAGCTGACTCAGCAAGAGCAAAGCCTGGTCCGGTAGGAGGGCACTATAAGACAGGCCCTAATCCTTTTATTGAGAATTTAGGTCGTCTGTCCAGAGGATGAAAATATCATTGATGTAACTCAGGTATATCATTGGATTCAGGGTGCATTTTTCCAGAAATTCTTCAGCTGTTCTCATGTTTTGGAACAAATGTTTGTTGTTAAATGTAAAGTTATTATGGGTAAGGATGAAATGGATGAGTTTGACGATGTGTTTGAGGTGGATTTCTAAGCACTGTTTATTATTTTGTAGGTATTTGAGACAGGCAGTGATGTTGTCATGGTAAGGAATGTTGGTATATAAGGAGGTGACATCCACGGTGAGCAGTGATGGTGTTCTGAAGGAGGCTGTTAATGGTGTACAGTTTCTGGAGGAAGA